CAGTGATTGGGAAGGTTCAAACCACCCATGGGACAATGGCCCCTCCTGGGTCACCCTTAATGGGCCATTTTGCATATCAATGGGCCATCGCTTGACATTTATGGGCCATTTTTAAACATGACAAATATATTTGAAATATCTGTATCAATACTTTTGGGAATAATATGATAAGGTTTTGCAGTTAAACTTGGTTAATATATTTATGTAGTTAAGACTTTTGTCTTTTTCAATAAAACCATTACAATGCCTTCTTTAATGAACTTATTTGAAGACTAAATGAAAAAACAAAATGATCAGAAAACATGTAATACTCATTAGTAATTGGTTTTTATTTGATGAAACCATCAACATGAGGTAAACAATCTAGATCTCTGAAAACCTTGATTAATCAAAACTGAGAAAATGTAAATGAAATTGTCTTCACATACTGTCTAGTACTTATTAATCAGTCTTACTGAAAAGAGATTTCATTACTTAATGAAGTAATCTCTTTCTCCTGTGCCACACATTCAGTGCATCCTCATAACTTATCTTACTCCCAAGAATCTTAACTCTTACACTGTTCGCGATCGTACTGGAGCCAGGGTCATAGTTGAAGCCAACGGGGTTGGAAACCTTGTGCGACCTGAGAGTGAGAGGTGCTAGCACTAGCAGTAACACTACTGTCAGTGTCACTACTACTCGTCGTAGTGCAAGGAGCGCTGCTCTCAGAAGTTGGTACATTTTCTTCTCCCGTCTCCTTTGAGACTTCTTCCTGAACGTTGGACGGACCCTTAGACGAAGCGGTTGAAATAAATAAACTAATGTAGGCTGGTCTGGCGAGATTTTAAAAATCTTTTTCGGCGGCATTTTTCTTTTCACTTCACCAAAGTGCTGCTTGAAAAAATCCCATGTGCTTTCAGAACGAAAAGCAAGGTTACTTCTAATTGGATAAACATGACCTATTAACTGATTGGCCAATAAGATATCAGCTTTTATTTCATTAGCATATCTATTGGGACGATGTGCTCATTGCTCTCGGCAAACTTCCGCGATTGCGTTCGATAGCTTCCGAATTCGTTCCTGAGACGTCTTCAGGTATGAGAGGAAAATTACGCTAATCAGTTGACGAATAGTTTATTGACGAGTAGACTCTTTTTAAAAACACGAGGTATAACAAAATCACACGCCCTTATGGCACACAAACAGGGCTTTTTATGCGCCCAGTTACGATTCTATGCACGTATGGCGCAATGGCGCGTTCCTTCCCAATCACTGTATATATATATATATAAATAAATACCTTAATTTGATTTTTTTGTCCATTGATTTCTTTTATTTATCTAACCTTCTTCTTTTTCATCATCATTTATTTTCACTTTAATTAATTTATCTATCAACACATTTATTTACCTGTTCCCGTCTTTTTGAGTCAGGTAAATTCTCTGTCCCAGAATTCAGCAAGGAACTGATGGCTTCAACCAGCTGTAGAACAGCTAAAAGCAAATATCACAGAGAAGGGTGTGACCAAAATGTTAATAACATGTAGATTTTTACATGACTGACAGCTTTAACCAGCTGTAGAACAGCTAAAAATCAATAGCACAGGGAAGAATGTAATTAAAAAAAATGTATAATTTAATACAAATCATAAAAATGGTAAAAGCAATAAATAATCAATAAAAAATGGCAACCCAAGTGTTAAAGGTTTACAGTTATATAAATAGACAGCACCTGTCTGGTCGCCTTCCCTCACAGCAGTCCACAAGACACTGTTCTGATCCCCTGTTATCTCCTCTAAAAAGGTACCAACATCACTGTCTAAAAAATCAGGATGGTCACTTAATGGAAGGACCTTAAAAAGAAAATGTATATATGATATGATATGATATGATACATAAAATAAATGGACAGAAGAAAAGAGTGCTACATCCATACCTACTCAGTTCCATATTCCAGCCTTATTTACTCCACCCCCCCCTCCACCTTTAGCAAATACTTGCTTTAAAAAAGTACCAAAAGTCCAGTAGGTTTGAAAGTGTATGGCAGAGAATGCAAATTTAATGTGAACATACCTGGACAGTGGAAGTCACCACAGTCTTCATACCATTGTCATTGACAGCATGTACACACTCTAACCCCCACAGATAATATAAACATACCTGGACAGTGGAAGTCACCACAGTCCTTAAACCATTGTCATTGACAGCATGTACACACTCTAACCCCCACAGATAATATAAACATACCTGGACAGTGGAAGTCACCACAGTCCTCATACCATAGTCATTGACAACATGTACACACTCTAACCCCCACAGATAATATAAACATACCTGGACAGTGGAAGTCACCACAGTCCTTAAACCATTGTCATTGACAGCATGCACACGGACCTCCCCCTGACTGTTCTCACTGGCTGGGGACACAGACAGAGCAGAGATGTGGATATAACCACCAGAACCGCTGCCTAACAGGATACCTGAGGAAAATATGAACATTTTTATACAAATATTGGTGGATACCAACATATCAACCCTTAGTGTTGGAATATTACTATGAGCTTCCTGTGTGATACATGAAAGCTTCTTCATGTCCATATGTGCATACATATCAGACTCAGAAATTCAGCTAAAGTTTGACTGAGGATTCACAAGTCAACAGTTACTTTGATTCTATAATACTGACTTGCCTCACTTGTTTTAATAATTTAAATTGCTGCAACTTAAAATCAGACTCTTTTGTAAGCAAGGAAATTCTTTGCCTACCTTTCTTTCAAACTATTCATCAGCAAACTGCAGATCAGTTACCTGATTGATTCTTGGTAGCAGGATCTCCATCCCAAAAATGGTAGTTGTAGTGGAGTTGACTGGTGCTGTCAATGAACCCAGAGCAATTCACTGAGAAATTGGTGACAATCTCAAAGCCAGTGGAAGGAGAAACTGTGCATATTCCAGGACTAGGGCTGGTCCCCATTTGTATGACACATGATGTAGACAGCACTGTACCAGCAGACTGACTTGTACCTACAGACACACATGACATGATGTAGACAGCACTGTACCAGCAGACTGACTT